AATAAATAACAGTGATTAACAGTGAAGCAGTTTTGTAAAAAAAAAAAAAAGAAAAAAAAATTGGCTTTATGTACCCCCAAAGTATATCAAAATCAGTTTTGATGCAGAAATTGAAAACATTCATCACAGAAATGGTGTACTCAGTTTAATGTATTTAATATAAGGGGAAAATAGTGTCACATCATTGCCCCAGTTCCTATATTTTATTGCAGACTGCGTTGATGATTTGCATCAATATAATCTTGCTTTTGCTTGAGGTAAACATGTTTTAAAAGCATCTCACCTGCTATAAATCCAAAATGTTGTAAAACACCTAAGACTACCTGTTCAAAGCAAACAGCACTTCAAATCCCCTCTCAGTTTTGCTGTAAATGGATTTATTACAATTTGTTCTCTGTTCTAACTCTTGTACTCTTTCTTTGTCTCTTTAGATCTTTTCCTTGGAGGAGTCAGTGAAGAGCTCTTGCTAAAAGAACAACTTTGTGAGGGTGTTTTCTGCATTTCCTTCACCTTTGTCCTTATCTGCTGGCTGGGATGAGGGGGCTCAGGAGCCTTATTGTCGGGCTCCTGTTGGCCTTCTTCTCCACTGCCTTTGGTCTTTATTTCCCTCCTCACGGTAAGTGCCAGGACAGTTAAATTGCTCTCAGGTGTTTGTTCTTATCAATGCAACTTCAACTTGAGGCTATGATCATTATTCAATAGTATTACATGCTATTATCCAGTAAACTCTTCCAGAAACAAGCATCCTTTTTAGCACAGATGGCCATCTCAACAGCTCTTTTATCCTGTGATATGTTTTTCCTGTAGTGGAGCAGCTGCCGACCATCACCACTCAGACCTCAGGCTCTCTCATTGCCTTGCCATATGATGAGAACTTACTGTTCAAGTGTGAAGCCAAAGGCAACCCAAGACCTACGTGAGTGAGATGTCCGGCATTTAAGGATGTCAGAAAAACTGAAGAAATATCCCAATGGAATTGCCTTTTATGGGCTGAAGGAAGCTTAGCCATTTCTTTGTGCAACGTGTGAAAATATATTTTTTTCCTGTCACTGTAATTATTCATTTTTCATCCCCCACAGAGTAAAACAAACATTGCAGATCACAGGAATTTATCTATAAATAAAATACATTAAATTATGTTTTAGTTTTAGATTCCAACTTTTTATTACATATTTATTTATGTTTCTTCTTCTTTTTTTATTTGATAAGTGTCAGTAAGTCTTTAATTATGGATTCACAAAAACAGTTTATGCATTTGATGAGAGGAGAAAGAGTAAACTTACTGAAACACAGTAAACTTAAATTCATAATAATTAGAAGAAAAGTAGAAGACAAATAAAATATACACCAACTATACACTCTTGAAAATAGTTAAAGAGTTTTTTATGGGCATCAATGGTTCCATGAAGTTTTTTTATGTGCATGCCTAATAAGTGCCTGTTGTGTGTTTTTAATTGAACAGGTACCGCTGGACGAAAGATGGGATGGATTTTGACCCGCATAAAGACCCTCGGCTCATTAAAGAAGAAAGTAGTGGGACCTTTGTGATCCCCAACACTAAAGAGAAAGTGAAATACCAGGGAAAGTACAGATGTTATGCCTCAAACAAGCTCGGAACTGCAATATCAGAGGAATCAGAGTTTATTGTGCCTGGTAAGTCACAGTTCAAATATCCCCTGTGACACGTTATCTCAGCTGCTGATCATGAAATGAATATAGCAGAATTCGAAAAATTCTTGGTTTGAGAATTTCCTCAGATCTGGTCCAAGAAATTTGCATATTGCAACATGATGCTGCTCAACTAGTTTTTAATCTACTGACAGTTTCATTGGTAGTCTATCTGTCTTATGCTTTAATAAGAACGTGACTGCTATGAATTTAAAGGAGTTAATTTGCATTGTTTTTGTGCTTGCTCACAGTGGTACCCAAGTTTCCCAAGGAGAAGACAGAGCCAGTGGTGGTCACAGAAGGCGATTCGGTGGTCTTGGTGTGTAACCCGCCACAAGGAACGCCACCTTGGCAGCTGTACTGGATGACCAATGGTAGTTCAAGACACTTTAAATCAGTTTACTGCACATAACGTTTGCCAAGCAGATCATTTAAATGCTGTGAATTTTTTTTGTAGATTGAATATCACTCCTTCAGATCTAGGTTATTATTGTTAACCAAAACTAAAATTAAAACCATAAAAAAGTTAATTCAAAATATTAACAGAAAATATAATAGTGTATACTAATGATACAACAATAACACTGCTTCTGACTTCCTCAGCTGTTACAGTAAACGTTATTGTTTGTGATATGTCAGTCATTCCATGTTTTTGGCTAAACGGATACACAGATGCGTGCATATATTTCAACCAACTGTATGTAACTATATTTTCTGGCGCCAGACTGGAGTTCTACCGCCTCCGCTAATAACAGGCTTTTGATGATAAATGTTACATGTTGCAATTTGTAAAGAACGCTGGGAATATGTGACATTTGAAGAATTTGATTCTTTCTGTCAAGCCAGTAAAACAATAAATCAGTCACTCTCAAACGCTCACACCTGGAAACAGAACAAAACTTTAAAAGTAAACAAAATGCCATTAAAACCAAACATTAAAATGTATTTAAAATGCCATAATACGCATAAAGGCCCAATAATAAAAGTGAGAATTTTGGTTTCTAAACGTTTTTTGAATTTATTATTATTAAAGGCATAGTTCACCCAAAAATAGTTCAGAAAAAAATGCTATCATCATTTACTCACCCTCATGTTGTTCCAAACCTGAATGAGTTTTAAGCTGAGATGCGATATTTTGAAGAATGCTGGTAACCAAACCAGATTCACTTCAATAGTATATATTAAAAAAAAATACAATGGAAGTCAACAATGTTTGATTTCCAACAGTCTTATAAATGTCTTCTTTTGTGTTCAGCAGAAGAAGGAAATTCAAGGAAGGAAGGTTGAGGGTGACAGAATGCACAATGTTCACTTTTTTTTGGGGTTGAACCATCCCTTTAATTATATAATTTTAATTTGATATGAATTATTAAACATAGACAAAGAAAAAAAAGTAAAGAAAAAAATTGCTCTTACTTTTTGTTGTTTTCCAAAATAAATAAATAAATAAATATAAACTTCCTTAAAACAAGATACATTTACTTGAGAAGAAAATAAATATTAGATTTCAGAGTAATCTTTAGTGAGGTTTAGTGAGGGTAAGTAAATAAACTTGAATTATCAGTTTGAATTAATTTTTTAACTCCCATTGGGAAATATATTTTTTCCTTTATAAGCATGAACCTCTCTAAATTTCATTAACTTTCTGTGAAGGAAAGACTTACTGTATGTAAATATTCTTTTCAAGTAAATGCACCTTGTTTTAGATATTTATCCTGGAAAGCAAGACAGTTGATTAAAAAAGCAATGAGCGTTATTATTGTACATGTCTTCACTTCTTGAGCTGAAGAGGCGGCTTAATCACGTTGAGCCACCTACACTACTTGAGAGGAACAAGAATCCCTGAGCATTCAAAGCTCTAGCACATGATGCCTGATATCTTCTTTGCAGTGTGTCAGATCGGGCTGTTTCTGGGCGGTTTGGATGGTTGCCCTCTCTGATGTCCTGTTGCTCATGTTAATCTAACCCTCCTCTCTGTATTGTTCTCAGATCTTCGACACATTGAGCAGAATGAGAGGGTGTCCATGGGCCTCAATGGGAATCTGTACTTCTCTAATACACTGGTGACAGATAGCCACGATGACTACTGCTGTTTTGCCTCCTTTTCCAGGATACGCACAATCGTTCAGAAACCCCGCATGGCCCTGAGGGTCAAGCCAAGTATGTGGCAAGAATCTCATAAACATGACAGCATTTAAAGCAAATTAAACTTCCACTAACATCCAAAGGTTTGGGGTCAGTAATATCTTTCAGTGTTTTTGAAAGAAGTCTCTTATGCTTACCAAGGCAAAAACTGTAACATTATGAAACATTAAAATCATTTAAAATAACAGTTTTCTATTGAAATATATTTAAACAAGTCATTTATTCCTGTGATGCAAAGCTGAATGTTCAGCATCATTACTCCAGTCATCAGTGTCACATGATCCTTCAGAAATCATTCTAATGTGCTGATTTGATGCTTAAGAAACATTTATTATTATCAAGGCTGAAAACAGTGCTGCTTAATATTTCTGTGGAAAGATATTTCAGGATTTAAAAGAGCAGCATTCATACAACATTTAAAAAATGTATTTACTATCACGTTTGATCAATTTATTGCATCCTTTCTGAATAAAAGTATTCATTTCTTAAAACAATCGTACTGACCCCGAACAGTGCAAAATTAATTGTAGTCTGTAGTGTGTGTATATACAAATTTTCACAACTAACCTACTAATCACCATATCAATGAAGACCTGTTATGCTGGTTTTGCGTGACGCAGGACACATTCTTGCTTTCATGAACAGCTGGACAAAAGCACAGCAGAATATGACAAGATTGTTTTTAAAAGTATTTTTAGCTTGACACAATGTCATGAAAATGCAGCTCTCATGATACTGAAAAAAAAACTGTGAGATGCACAAAAATGGCTTAAAGTATACATAGTTTAACAATTTTTTTAATTTTTATTTTGTAAATATATTGTTGAACGTATTAGATTACTTTCTAAAAGCAATGCTCAAACGGCTGCAGTGGCGATTCATTTAAGTGGATGTAATTTATAGATGCAAGCTTGTTTTAGTGTATTGTCAGCATGCTGTATTTTAGCATGCTAATAATTTAACAGTTGTGAGATGCACAAAAATGGCTTAAAGTATACATAGTTTAACAATTAATTTTTTTTTTATTTTGTAAATATATTGTTGAACGTATTAGATTACTTTCTAAAAGCAATGCTCAAACGGCTGCAGTGGCGATTCATTTAAGTGGATGTAATTTATAGATGCAACCTTGTTTTAGTGTATTGTCAGCATGCTGTATTTTAGCATGCTAATAATTTAACAGCAAATGTCTCTAACGTAATCCTCTTTAAAGTCAACATTAAAATGAACTCTGTTTACTTTCTTAAACAGTCCTGGTCTTATTATGATAAATCATTTCATGTTATTTAAAAAAATAAAATAAATTAATAAAATTCTTTCTTTCTAATATTTCATCAAAATCTGTTGTCAGCCCTCTTATTTTCCAGCCCTGCTCCTCCAGCCGACATAGAAAACACTTTTTACAATCCAACCAATTCCTGAATTCTCAGTTGATTGTCCTTCTTCACTGAGAAGTACAGATGTTGTTTCATGTTAATACAGTATGTTTAGCACAGCTAAAATTAGTAACATTAGAAAATTCTAAATCCTTAGTACAGTTACATAGTATATACATGTTCAGATGCAAAAGCCTCTTAATGCCGTCCAGCCGACATAGAAAACACTTTTTACAATCCAACCAATTCCTGATGGATAAAGTCTTTTTCTCAGTTGATTGTCCTTCTTCACTGAGAAGTACAGATGTTGTTTCATGTTAATACAGTATGTTTAGCACAGCTAAAATTAGTAACATTAGAAAATTCTAAATCCTTAGTACAGTTACATAGTATATACATGTTCAGATGCAAAAGCCTCTTAATGCCTTCTGAAATTTTCTTCTAAAATGAGCCTTTTTCTCAGGCTCCTATGTTTATGTTCAGATATTTCACTTGAATAGCAATGAAAAGAACCCATTCATTGCCATTAATGTGAAATTACTGAACCAACACATAGGAGCCTGATAAAAATGCTAATTTTAAAAGAAAATTCAAAACGGTTCATTTTGCATCTGAACTCTTCATATACAGTATACACACTTTAAAAATGCTGGGTTAAAAACAACCCAACTTGGGTTATTTGGCAACCCAGCACTGGGTAAATATTGGACAGAACACATTAAATGTTTTAACCCAAAATGCTGGGTTGTTTATTTAAGTCAACTATTGTTTAAAAATCATTATATTGCTGGCTTAAAATGGGCTGGAAATGAAAAAAAATCACGCACAGAATTACTAGAGGCAACAGCAATAATCAAAAGATAAACATTTATTATTAAGCAAGAACACCCATGGACAAAATACAAGACAAGTTGAATTTATTTGGGTGAATACAGCATAGTTTACAATATAACATACATTTAAACTTGTTTAACAAGCATTTTAGAAATAAATTTGAAACATTTTAAAGTAGCATTTTAATTTAAGTGTATTCAACTGTTCTCTGTAATCACTTTTCACCGAAATAGTGCTAATTCTCGTGCCGGTGTGTCGCCGCAATCTGAGCCGGTGAAGGGCTGCCAATTTGACGCCCTAGGTGAAATCCCTATTGCCCCCCCCC